GAAAACCCTTGGGAAAACTTTCAGTAATTGATTCAAACAACAATAGAGTTTTTGAAGTTTTCTCTCCCCCACCCCCACCCCCACCACACACACACACAAAAAAAGGATTTTAAATAAATAAATAAAAAGAACAGTGCAAGAAGAGCGTGGGGCTGTGGGCGTAATGAATGAGACGTATCAGACGACAAACGGGAGGATTTCAGATTTACCCACCACCATCAGTCCATCACCATTCACCATCCAATGACCCAAACCCTCCGTCTGGCTAGCTCATTCCTATCTCCTCTCTCCGTGCATTCTTTTCTCTGCTCTTTTTATCTCCTCCTTTTCACCTTTCTTTTTTTTTTAGGTTTCACTTTTTCAAAATTTCCTATTTATTTTTTATATTAATTAATCTGCTTTGTTTGGTGTACCAATGTACCTACTTTGAAGTTTGAAGTTTGAATGATTACACATGTCCCATTAAAATATTAATAGTAATACACTGTAATTAGTATCTTTAATCTAGCTTGAACAGTACTTTTTATTCCACGTGGATGGCTAGGATCACGTAACAAGGTTCTTTCTGATTTAAGTGCTTACAGATAGATGGTACCTTTGAATATTGATCTCTCTGTCTAGTCTCTGCTACTAAACCGGGTCCCGTCCCGGCCCCTAATTAAGGGAGAGCGCGTGTGAATAAATTCTCGCAATGTAATAATTAGTAATTAAAACCCAAGTCTGAGTTTATTTATTATTGACCCAAAATGTGCCAGATGTAAAGGTGAAGTGAGTTTTGAGTTTGACTGTTCAAACTTTTTTCAGCTTCTCCCTTCCTTTTATTCATATTTCATATCCAATGAAGTCATTGGTCAACTGTTCATTAAGATAAGTATTATATATCTCATCTTTTGATAACCTAACTAACGAAACCGATCAAAAACCTTATTAAACCAAGCCAATTGTATATTAATTAATTAATTAGCTAAGCCAAACCACTCAGTAGTCAGTAGTTTGAAAAGAACCAAGTGCCCATAAGTGATAAACAGAATCCCAAGCCAGGACAACGATACGTTTTGGTTTCTGTAACGCCCACTTAAGCTAATAAAATACATCATCATACTTGATACACAAACATGTGATGGCATACGGAGCAGACCATGATTATTCCAAGTTCTACAAGTACTGTTTAATGAATCTTGTTCTCATTTAATTTTTGTCTGATCTTGGGAATCAAGTTATAATTAAATGGAGCAGATAAACGCGTATGATAACACTGTGTGGTTGCAGTAATCTGTTTTATAATGCTGTTTGTTTTGTGTTTTTTTATGAGCAGGAGGAAGTTTCCATAATCAGCGTATTTTCCTTTTAAATTTAGTTTTCTCTTTGTTTTATTTGGGAATGTTGTATAGCTATTAGCTAGAGGGGGCCGGGGAGAGAGGTTTTGGCATCAGAAACGAGGGGGAGAGGGGATTTGTGGGTGAGGAAGGCAAGAAAGATTGATGGTGGGTTTTTGCAGCAGTAACGAGGGTTGTATGATTCTTCTCCATGTCCATTGTCCAGTGCCAGGGAGGGAACAATCCCATCTGATTATAGTTCTGAGCTCCCTTAATTACACCCCTCCCCCCCCCGTCTCTCTCTCTCTCTATCTGACTCTCTCACTTATTATGCTATTACCATAGACCGTTTCTCCCTTGCTTGTTCTTCTCCTCTTTCCCTTTCTTCTTCTGCTTCTCTGTGTGCTTTGCATGCGTGCACCTCACTCAAAACTCTCTCTCTCTCTCTCGTGTACACAAACATTTACCTCTTTCCCTCAAAAAGAGCCCCCACCTGTAGCCACTCTTGCCTCTTTCTCATCGGTTCTCTCACGCTGTATATATGTTCTAACATGGTGAAAATGAGTTGAGGTTTTTAATTTCATGTGGGCTTTGGCGAAGGAAAAGGAAGGAGGTTATTTTAGTTTCATGTGGGTTTGGCAAAGGGTTTCTTACAGAGTTTATTGGCATTCTGTCCACCTCCACCAAAGGAAATCCATCTCTCTCTCTCGTTTTCTCTTCTTTTTTAATGGAGGTGGGCATCCTGCCAACAAAGCTCTGTTGGCTTCTCTTTGTAAAACCCATGTGATGTTCTCTCTATGGGGACTCTCCATTTCATCTGTGCTGCTCTCTTCTATTATGCAGGTGATGAAGAGGTAACGATGTATAGCAAACATGTATACCCACCTGATTTAACTGCACCTGTTTCTTTTTGTTTGTGTTGTGTTACTCTAAACTCTCTTAAATGTGAAACGATCGACCTCTTTATTATGTTGTTTCTTCTCTTATTATTTCCCTTCATATCGCATTCCGTCTTTCACCATCCCTCTCACCCCCATCTTTTTTTACAGGTTTGATTGTCTGCTACTGCAATCTGCATGCGACTGAGAAAGCAATATCATCTCAGACGGCTTTTGTGTTTGTGTTTTGTTATTCTTGGTTGAGTTGATCCCACCAAACTGTCCTTCCAAAACCCTAATTTCTCGTTTCACTAGATCTTTTGAAAAAGATAATTTAAAACTAAAAGGGTTTCTTCTCTTCTTTGTTTCTCCACATATATGATAGTGTTTGTACATGAAGGATTCAGGAATAATTGTTAGATCACAGAGAGGAGGAACTGTGGAATGACTGTATATTTTCTCTATTTTAATTTGTTGAATGTTAACTAAATGAAAACCGTGACTGAAAAATGAAAATTGCAACGAGTCACTACTGCGAAGTGCGAAGACCCATCTCCATAATATCCCACTGAGTCCGAGGAGTTGTATTTTTTCCGTTTCACAGAGCAGCTTGTACTTCTGTTCTTCTGCAGACGTATCTGTATTCGACCTATTGGTAGTTCGGTAGCCAGCCATGCTGTGATGCTATCATGTACATGTACGTAGGTTTCATGATTGAAGATGCAGAGTTTTTTTTTTTTTTTTTCTCTTTTTCCTTTTGTTAATTTATTTTTTACTCTTTTATCTATGACCATACGAAGTCCCAAGTACATTTTAGTGTAGGTATTCATCATGACCGAGTGACTCCATTATATTCATGGATAATTTCATTTCATTACGATTTACGACTTTAGAGCTGCATTGGCTGGCCATCTGCACCTGGGCTGGGTTTCGATTCCATTGTCTTATTACTTGTCAGGCTTCTCTTCTACTGTCCTACTCGTTGCATTGAGCTGAGCCTGGCCTAGAGTCTGAGTCTGAGTCTGAGTCTGAAGTCTGAGGTAGTGGTAGCAAATTCATTATTTGGGTTCCAGATTTTCATTTCCTTTGTGGGTCGAAGTCGAACAATTGACCTCACTGCAGGCAAGAAAGGCTTGTTGTGGAGAGTGGAGTCTGGTTCACTCACAGTCACGAGATAGATAGATAGATAGATACCCAAGGCCAAGCTAAGCTCCCAAAGCTCTTCCATGGGGAAGGAAAGCAGCAGAGCAGGGTAGGGAGGTGAGACAATATTAATAAATATTGGGGGACCATTTGTGGGGGTGGGACCATTGTTATAATGTGTTTTGGTTGTGGGGGACCATTATCACTTATACTCTCATCCTCTTTTTAATTTCATCTGTTGCGAGTTACGAGTTGCGACTTGCCCCTTGGATTTAATTTTCTTTTTATCATGAAAGAAAAGAAGGGTCGTCCCAAGCTCTGACTTTGTTATCCATGAATAATGCTTCTGAGACGGTCTTTCTTTATTACCGTTTAAACTCCTTTTTATCTTTTTATTGAGAGCACACAGCTACACAGCTGCTGCACTAAGGCAAAGGCAAATGCATGGCCCAAACTTCAAGAGAAGCCTCCTCTCCCCCAAAAGGGCCGTTATTGTGTCTGTTGTGCTGATTTATGATTCATTATCCTGACTGGCAATTCTCCACTGTAAAAATTAAAATGCTATTTTACATAATGACTATTCCAGCTGATGATGGAGTTGAAGCCAACGGACCTCTGCGACGACTGCAAGCCACGTGAAAATGGGAAGATGGGCAATTTTCATTTTCTTCTTCATCTCTCTCTCTCTCTCTCTCTCCTTGTCTTTTTCTCAAATAGTTTTGCTATCCATTTGAATGATGGAAGGAGTTAGGGCCCACGATGTGGGATGATTTTACTTAGTAGGATGTCAACTGTCAACGAGTTGGGTTTGTGCCCAAGTTCGTATAGGTTGGACCCCATTCCCAATGGATCTTTAATCTAATGGACTCGAGTTGGATCTAAACTTCAAACTTCGTGGGCCCAAACCGTACTACTAATTGAGGCCGGATGATATGTAATGTCGTGAATCCAGGTAAATCAGAGATGCTAATTGAGGCCTATGTCACTCCCTCTTCCTCCATTTTGTGAAATATCCGATGGGAGTCTGTTCTGTTGTCTTGTCCTTGTTTGGACAACAGACAGCAAATTCAACGCTGTGGTTTTTATTATTGCGTTATATTTACTAATTTTGCTTTGAACTCGTACCGGTGGAAGTATAACATAACTTAGCCAGTACTGAAGCAACAACAGCTCAACGTTTTACCGTTTCTGATTTCATGCAAAGGGTAGGGTGGGGACGGACGGTTCATTGTGAAAGGGTACCAAGGATGGAGGTGCAACACGAACAGCGCAGCATGCCTGGTCCAAACCAGGTAATCTGTGCTAAGCTAAGATCAATTAATTGAGCAAATATATATACAGCACTCAACCATATGTGGTACTACGCTTGATCGATAATGGTCGGGCCGGATTTGGTTGAATTGTCCCCACTTCCCAACTAGTCCAAGTGATATATGATGATGGTTGGTGAGTGAATGGTATTGTCTATGCGTTTTATAGTTTGTAAGGAGTTGTTATTGATCACCTGGTACTGCTTCCTGTTTTTGAAAATTGAAACTAATGTCTGCGTTTTTGGACTTCGTTACATTTTTCTACTATTCTACTTCTACAATGTAGTATCTTCTGTTTATTTAAAGCTCTGATACAGGGTATTTCATTTTTTTTTCTTGTTTTTGGTAAGAAGCTCTGATTTAGGTTAAGATTTATGAACGAATGGTTTACGATTTATCAATAATGTTCACTTCTAAGGGGCATTGTTTTAAGGAATGATGTCTCTCTTCAATTATTCACGTATATAAGAATTATATATTTTTACATTGGTTTTAAAAGGTGAGAGGCGTACGCCTCAACGCGAGGTGACCAAATTTCGCCATGCCTCGGTAGTGTCAATATCAGAGCAAGGGGTGTAAGCCTCAGTTTTAGTGAGGCATGGGTAGGGATGGCAATTTTTCCTATTTCCCCAATCCCTATGCGGATCCACCTCGAATGGGGCGGGGATGGAGATGGGAAAATTTTCATCCCTGTTAGTGGGGACAAGGAGAGCACTCCCCGCCCTGTGGGGACCCTGATCTCCGCCCGTGGGATCCCCACTAATATATATATGTATATATGTATGCATTTGTTATATATGTATATATGTACACATATATCTATATATTAATATTTTTAAAAATATGGTAGAATATGTTTGAATCTTTTCTAATAGGATTGTAAATCTTAATTATTTTATTTTTATTTTTTAAAATAAAATAAAAAACAAAAACAAAATGATTAATGTTATAAAAAATCACGGGGAATGGGGATCCTTGTAGGGATAGGGATGGGGATAACTTTGTTGCTGCCCTGCCCCGTTGCCATTCCTAGGTGTAGACCTTTGGCCTTTCGCCTCAATTTACATGAAGTGGTAGCCTTAATTAAAAGGGGTTTTGGGTGGGGAAAATTGAATTTTAGTATGGACAACTTTGAAAAAAATTAAAATAAAAAGTAAAAACACCAAAATGTAGGGTTTCCATCGACCAAAATCTCATTTATCTGTTTTCATTTTTCAATCGAACTCAAGAAAACTGAACTCATTTCTCTTCTTTCTCTATTCTATATTCTAATTCTCAAACCGAACTCAAGATTCAATAAGACAAGAATATTGGAGAAAATCAAATTGTGCGACTACATACAGGTCTTCCTCCTCCTCTTCTTTTTTGTTCTTATTCTTCTTCTTCTTGAATCTTGCGTACAGGTTCTCCTCCTCCTCCTTTTCACTTTTTTCTTATTTTTTCGTCTCAAACTATCATCTAAGTGTGTGGCAGATTTGTGGGAGGTTAGAGACTCAGAGGTGTTGGCATGCTACTTTCTTTTAGTTTCACTTTCGGATAGTAAGTGTTGTGATAACTGATGAGATGCTTGGATGCATGTTGCCATGTTGTCATAATATATATTGAATTTGAATCCGTTTGAACAACTCTTGTCACAATCATTAATGAAGTTTTATCATTACAGCCATGGAAATGAGTCTAATTTATTTCAAGATTTGCTTAAAACTTTCAAAATTTCAAGATTGAAGAAAAAAAAAGTAAAATTCCTACACATAAACAATAGTTACTAGTTATTAGTTAGTTACTAGTTAACTTAGAGCCTTAGACTATAATTCTTACAAGTAATCTTGATGAAAAGATTTGAACAATCAATAATTATTGAACCATTGATATATTAAGTGACAAATAATTATATAAAACTTCAATTATTTATTTTCATAATTTTTAAGCTTTTAATTTGAAGATACCGCTTCGTCTCCCCCTTTAACCTTTTAAAATTTTGATTTTTATCTTAATGCATATATATATATATATATATATATTGTGACAAGGAATATATGTGGACTCGGCAGTTTATATATTAAAGTACATTAATAGACTAACTAATTAATTAGTAGAAGGACCAATTTTATGCTATTAGTAGTTTTGAGGGTGAAATATAAATTTGGCTCTGACTTGTTAGAGGCAACCAGGGGCCCCATTTGTAAGATTTCCGTGGGAGAAGACATTATTACGATTGTCTCAGATTCTAACTCACTATCATTGATTGCATTATGACATTGGTGGGTGATGCAGGGAAATTACGTAAAATGAAGCATGAGAACACGGAGTTCCGGAGCCCTTTTAAATGATCCAATATTGTCTTTATATGTAGGTTAATATATACTCAAGGAATTTATGTAAGATTCTGTTCATTTTCACTTTAACCGCACGGGTAAAACCAAGTGATCTTTCAACATTCTTGTGTAATATAGGTTATCTGAGTAAAGGGAGAGAATATTATCCGTGGATAAATTGTTTATCCACCTTACAGGATGATATTAACTATTTAGGTAATTGATATTTTTTTATATCTTCGATCAATTTACTAGTTGACCCACTTATTTTTATAAATAATATTTATCTTCGATCAATTGATATTTTTATATATATTTATATTGTATAATTTGTATTTATACGCTTTCCAAACTGAGCCTTAACAACATTCTAAAACAATAACTTATAAGAACACATATATTAATCAATCATGTGCAGAAAGGTAAAATTGGCGAAAGATGAAGAATAAGAGGATTCTGGAAAATGAAACTTCAAACCGCTATAAATATTACTATCACTATGTTCTCCTTCACCCAATGCCCATAACCATGTACTTGGTTATTTATGTTTCTTTGTTAAATCGGCATCGAAATTTTTTTACTTTTTGACTTTGGAAAAAAATGAGTAATTGCTTTTGGCGTGTTGGGATTTTAAATGAAACTTGTACATGAATTAGGGTAAGGGCTACGGAGGGCTAGGTTTGGTGGAAGTACATTCAAACGGAATCGGCTTCTTTACTGCCTTGCATTAAAAATATCTTGTATTTATGTGTTTTATTTCATGACAAGATATTTCGGATGCAAGGTATCAAAAGACTAATGGAAGCCGATCTCGTTCAAGACGGCTATTAGTAATTTAGTATTACCGTGTATAGGCTGGATTCGTTGGATAATCAATGACGGTGAGAAATTAGATTAGAAGCTGAACAAAAGTAAAAGCAAGAAGAAAATGGAGAGAATTCCAATATATTTTCTACACCCAAAAAGGTTATAAAAGCAGTGTTTATATACAAGAATAATCCCTAACTAACTAACTAACAAACTTGACAGAAAAGAAAACTAAAAGAATATTGCCAGTTCAATAACAGAATGCCAATTCAGCTAGTAAAGGATAAAAGAGAATAAAAGAAAATAATGAATAAAGATAATAACTCTACCCCCCCCCCCCTCTCAAGTTGGAGTTTGGTGGATATCAAGCAAATCCAACTTGGACATGAAGTTGCTGAATTAAGGACCAAAAAGTGGCTTTGTAAAAACATCAACTACTTGATTATGAGTAGAAATATGTTGAGGATTGATGCAGCCTTGTTTGAACTGCTCTCTAACTAAATGACAATCGATGTCCAGGTGTTTTGTTCTTTCACGAAACACTGGATTGACAGTGATGTGTAGAGCAGCTTGATTGTCACACCAAAGAAGAATTGAAAGTTTTAATTGAATGCCAAAATCCTTGAGAACATAGGAGATCCATTGAAGTTCACAAACCGTTGCTGCTAAACTCCTATATTCTACTTCTGCTGATGATCTTGAAACTGCTGTTTGTTTCTTTGTTTTCCAAGAAATGAGAGCTAACCCCAAAGAAATGCAAAAACTTGTTAAGGATTTTCTGGTTTCAGAACAGGAGGCCCAGTCTACATCACTAAAAGCTTCCAAATGAAGAGAATTGTCTGTTGGATAAAAAAGACCTTTAGAATGACAACTTTTTAGATATCTAAGCAAGTGCATTGCAGCTTCCCAGTGTGACTGACATGGAGAGTTCACGAACTGACTTAGCTGCTGTACAGAGTAGCTAATGTATGTCCTGCTAATATTTAAATACAACAAACGCTCAACAAACCTTCTATATCTTTCTGTTTCAGCTAGTGGAGGTCCTTTATTTGCACAAAGCTTTTGACCCTTGGGGAAAGGTGTTTTAGTTGGTTTAGCACCTACGAGTCCAGTATCTGTTAGAATGTCAAGAATGTATTTCCTTTGGTTAAGAACAATACCTGAAGAACTACTAGCAATCTCCAAACCCAGAAAATACTTGGCACAACCAAGATCTTTGATAGTGAATAGCTTATCCAAGTGCTGTTTGACTGAAATGATATCTGCTTCTAAAGTACCTGTTAGAAGCACATCATCTACATACACTAACAATGCAACGAAGGAGTTAGATGTGTGCCTAGCAAATAAACAATGACCATGAGTTGATTGATGGAAACCAAAAGCTTTAATTGTCACTAAATTCAGCATTCCATTGTCTTGAGGCTTGTTTAAGCCCATAAAGTGGTCTCTTCAATTTGCAGACCTGACCCTTAGCAGCCTTAAAATACCCTTCTGGAGGTTGCATGTAAATGTCCTCATCCAAATACCCATGCAAGAATGCATTATTGATATCCAATTGATGGATAGGCCATGATTTAGATGTTGCAATTGCAAGAAAAATTCTTACAGTTACTATTTTGGCCACAGGAGAGAAACTATCAAAATAGTCAATCCCTTCCACCTGGTGAAAGCCTTTGGCTATAAGCCTGGCTTTGTATCTATCCACACTATCATCCGGATTCAACTTCACTTTACACACCCACTTAGAACCAATAGCCATTTTTCCTTCTGGTAAATCAGTGAGTTACCAAGTTTCATTTTTCTCTAAAGCTTCTAATTCCTTATTCATTGCTTTAATCCATTCAATATTAGTACTGGCTTGATTATAAGAAGTTGGTTCTTGAATATTTGACACATTAACTAAAAAGGATAAATATGATGCAGAAAGTGAAGGTGGTTGAATAAATAGATATGTTGGAGGTGTATGAGGTGTTGATGCATGAACCTGTGACTGATTGAGGATTCTATCAATAGTTCTAACATTGTTGCAAGCCAAATTAGTAACATATTTTGTAAGCCATGCTGGTTTCTTTTTAATTCTAGTACTATGTCTGATAGGGGGTATGTTGTCTGTATTAACTGGGACTGTAGTTTCTGGTTTTGTAATTTCAGGAAGGGAGTATGTTGAATAAATGGAACGTTTGCATTTACATGTAATGTATCGTGTGACTGGTTTGGTTAATCAGATTTTCTGATCTAATTTGTTTTTTTTTTCCGTTTTCCACGATCACCTCTATCTAATAAAAAATCTAATGATCCTTAATAAGAATTTGCTGTACACGCAGTTGTGACTTATTTCCCTGATTGCAGCCCAATTAGTCAATTATCATATTTAAAAATTATGATTTTGGGAGATTGGGAAAGAAATTAACCTGCTCCCTCCTTTCCTGTTTAGCAAAAATCATGTTTACACCCTGAGAGAGTGCAGCATCCAGACAGACTAAGAATATATCCCCATGAATTTAATATAAGGTAAATTTCTTAAATTAATTTTTTTGTTTAGTTAATTGACAAACTGTATTCTTATTGTTTAATTATTGTCTTAAACTATCCTTATTGTTTTTGAGAATTGAATAATCATATTCCTATCCTTGCTGACATCAAAATTTGTACGCATGTGATTTTTTTTAAGGGATAATAGCATATAAGAGCAACTTTTGGAGTCTAATATCAATAAAAGTAATATTTTTTAAAAAAATAAAAAATAAGTTAATTTTTTAAAAATAACATCAATAAAGGGCAAAAGCTCATAATCTTCTTCTTGCCATTTGTTCACCAGTGCTGCCGTCCGCTGTTGCCCGTTGCCGCCTGCCACCACCCGGTACCACTGTCTGTTGCCGTCCGCCACCGCCTCCGGCAACATTGTTGGAGGCGGAAGTGAAGGTGGCGACGTTAGGCAGAGAAATGACCACCAGCGCCGTTGCTGCCACCTTCGGCAATGTTACCGGAGGCGGCGGCAGGCGATAGCGGACGATGGTAGCGGGTGGTGGCAGGGCGGCGACACTGGTGAACAAATGGCAAGAAGATGATGTAAAATGTTTTTGCCCTTTATTGATATTATTTTTAAAAAGTTAACTTATTTTTTGAATTTTTTTTTTTAAAATTATTACTTTTGTCGATATTAAACCCCAAAAGTTGCCCTTTTATGCTATTATCCCTTTTTTTTTTAAATCCAATATTACCTTTTGCCTGAAACTCGCTTGAAATCAACACTCACCTAAAGGCTAAAACAATGTTTCAAAGCTCGCCTGAAACTTGCCTAACACCACAGCTCGCCTGAAATAGGGTTGGCTGCATGCATCTCGGACCAAAATAGAATTATTATTCGCCGGTGATGTCTTCCACGACTCAAACAAATCAAACATTCTCTTCACAAACCCATCTTGGACCGGGAATGGATAAGGCTTCTTTGGGGAATCTCAAATGGAAGCAGAGATGGCAACTATCTAAACCATTCTCTCTTTCCCCTTCTTCAACCGCAGGTCAGCGCCCTTGTTTTTTCCTCCACATTGGTGGGCTGGGGGGAAAACGAACGCTATAGTTGCATCATTGGGTTGGGGGATAACGGTCGTTGGCTTGCATGCGAACCATGGCAACATTAGCTGGGTTGCCGATGACGGAAGCTTGTTTGAGCGATTTTGATCCCAACAGAAATGGGCCAACGTACGGTGCTGGAGGTGATGGTGGTGCTGTGTGGATGGTAGTTTACCTTTAATGGAACAAACGCAGCAGCATCTGCTCTCGCGCTCTATTACAATATCACGAATCCAGACAAGTTCAATCAACTCTGCTACTCCAATTCATCCCACATCTTACTCTTTCCTCCGCCGCCATTGAATACCCTCCACTACTCCCACTTCTCTCTTCATCTCCCATTTACCTCAAAATCCACACGCAGCGATACTATGGAGAAGAGGGCTGGAGGTCTTTGAGAAGACAGAAGAGTGGCTGAGAGTTGGAGACTTCAAAACTGATATCTGAAGGGTTTCATAGTTGGAGGGAGAAGAGGGCTGGTGGGGAATGTGAAAAGTTTCTGCTTCGTTGACACATCTCGATCCCTGATTCACAACCATCGGCAGGAAAGGAAGATGCACCAACACAAAGAGAGACAAGAGAGAAGAGAGGAAGAAGAAGAGAAAGAAGAAGGAGAGAGAGACCAGAGGCGGAGGGGGCTGCTGCCGCCAACGCTCGGGGTCGTGAATTCAAATAAGATCAACAGTGATTTTGTTTGAATTCGGAAAAATGGATTTCCGTTTGACCCAGTTTTACTCTATTGCCACCATCATACACTGTTCTGGTTTTTTCTCTTTGTTTGCTTGTTCACCGTCACCGGAAGTTGCAGCGGTAAGTGGAGGGCAAATTTAACATTTTGTTTTTTTCGTTAGTTTTTTAATGATGATGTCAGTTACCAGAAACTAGAAACAGTAAAAGTAGAGTAAGTATGGGATGTATATTCTTCGGGTATATACATAATTTTTACTTTCAGGAAATCTGTGTTTTTCCTTGTCCCATTTATCGCCACTTTCATCTCATGTCCTATAATTCTAGCTAAAAACTCCACGATGATCATTTCAAGGCAAACTGATGGAAGGCGCTATTTATGTGTAGCGAGTTTTATATATCAATGTTATTGTGTTATTTTATCGTGAGCAAGGCTTTTAAAATTAAATCGGACAACAAACCGGTTAGGGGTCCAGTTTTTAGATTAAACAATTGATTGTTTGAATCGAAGGGATGATCCGTTCTGACAAAAAATAAAAACGGTTAAAATCGTTGAATGATTTGAATAATTTGACCGTCCGGATCAACAGTTTGCTTATCAAATCACCAATTTCGGTGAAATAACGGTTCAAAATAAAATAAAACTGGTCACCTGATTGATTCTTAATTTTTCCAGTTCAATTTTAAAAACCATGATCGTGAGTCTTCTAACAAGAAAAGAAAAGACAGAGTTAAATGATTCTAACCAAGAGGTGACTCAATTGGTATGTTAACTGATTTATCTGAACAGAGACTTTGATTCTCGCAACCACCAACTTTGATATAGAGGAATTCAGTGTGGTGTTGCGTTACTGAAGTTGCCCTTATTGCGGATTCTGACGTATCATAAAAAATATCAAAAAAATGATTCAAATATCGACCAACCATTCAGCATGTATCACGCACTCTAACAAATTTTTCTATTTTCATGTGAATTGCATGGTAGATATGCCATAGAACTTAGCTAAATTAAAATGTCTGGACAATCCAACCAAATGATAAAATATAGGTGCAACCAAAATGATCATGCTGACCTAATTGAATGGTCAGATGAGAATAAAACCTGTAAAGGAGGAGGAGAGCCACCGGTGAGGCCCGGGGGAGGAAGGCTTAAGAGTTAAGACCAGTCGAAGTGTTGAGTTGTTGACAGACAGCAGTTGCAACCTGGGGAAGGGATAACGACCGGTGATAGATACCTTAAGGTTATGTTTGGTATGAAGGAAAAGGTAGGGAAACCAATATAAGGTTCGTAAAGGTTTCCTTCATTTTCCTTCAAACCAAATATAGCCTAATGTATCTTGATTAGGATTTTGAGAGTTTTTTTATATAATTTTGTTAAGAGAAAATTCCCAATTAGTACCTACTTTGGGTTTAGTGTCACTTTAGTTTCCGAATTTTAAAACGCGACAATTCAGTACCTGAACATTTAAAACGTGTTAATCTAGTACTTGTCGTTAATTAGTCTATTAACTAGTTGTTAAGTGGTATTTAAAAAGATATAAATGCCCTTCGGGTGTCATCTAATTCTCTTTATCAATCATCCAACTATTGATAAAAAATGAAGTCCTAAATCCTTGCCTCTTCTATTCAAGAAAGTTAGGACCAGAATGTCCTTTGAGACATGACCCCAACTTTTTTGAATAGAAGAGGCAAAGATTTTGTGTTGTTCAATGGTGATAAAAAAAAATAAGATGGCACTTGATGAAGGGAAATTTGGCCCGACCTTGCGATCGCCCGACACGTGGCAAAGGCAAGCAGCTCGGGATAGTAGAGCACCCAAAGCGAACATCGGAAGCAAGTCCAAACTCACTACCGAGCCCGAACTCCAGACCGCTGTACTTAGTCCGAGCTCCTTGTTAAGAGCGAGCTCCCTGTCAAAGGTCCGAGCTCCCTAAAACCCGAGCCCGAGCTCCCTAAGAACCTAAGCTCCCTA